CACACACACACACATACACACACAACACGCACGCGTACACGTCCCTCTTTCCCACCCCTCCATCTCGCACACACACGCGACTCAAGCACACTGTTTGTTCTCTCAGGCGCGACAGCGAAGCACACACGTCTCCCAAAACCGCATGCTCGCTGCTCTGTTCTTCTTTTCAGTCTCATTGACAACGAGTCCAAAGCAGCGAGCTAAGTAACAAAACAGGGAAAGAGAGGGAAAGGGTATAACAGACGTACCTTGAGGCACATCCTCCGTATTGTAAAGACCCTTGTGAATATCCATCGCGTAGTCAACCATGTTTGTCTTTCCAAGCAAGTCGATCTTCGCCTTCATTATATCGTCCACCGGGAAGATCTGCAGTGTTCATCGCCAATGCACGCCGCGCACGTACGCATACACATTAATTTTTATTTTTATTTTTTGGGGGGGAAGCAAAGACGGACAAGAATACCCCCATATGCACAGAAAAAGAGAAGAGAAATGGCAGAGATCGACGAAGAGATGCAGAGAGAGGGGAGAGAGGAGAGAAAGAGGTAAAGAGAACAGAGACACAGACAGAGAGTGAGAGAGAGAGAGAAGGAAGATACAGAGGTAGACAGACATAGAGAGGGGGAGAGAGAATACCTGGTTTCGAAACTTCATTCCAAGATCAATGGAGAATCAAAGGAGAGAGAGAGGGTAGCTGGATGGAGAGAGGCAGTGGAGTGAGAGTAAGCAATAGACGGAGAAGTTATGGGACTAAGCTTCTTCCTCCGCACGCAACGCACCGACATCGGACTGAATTGGACCGAAAATATCGTGTTTATGCATCCATAATAAGCGTGCGTTGTGTTCGGGGAAAGACGGGAGGGGGGGAAAGCAAAAGGGAAAATGCGGAGAAGAAAGAAGAGTGTGGGAGAGCCAAGGAAATAACCAGATAGGAGAGGGTAAAGGAGGAGACAGGAGAGTAGAAGAGGGCAGAGGAGAGGGGAGGAGAAGAAAAGGGCAGAGGAGACTAGAAAATAGAGTTGATGAGAGGAGGGAGGAGAGGGGAGGAGAGAAAAGAAGTAGCGGGAAAGAGAAGAGGACAGGGGAGGGGAAAAAGAGGACCCGAAGAGGGGAGGGGGGGGGGAAGAAGCGGAGAAGGGCACTGCGGAGGAAAAGACGAGAGGAGAGAAGACAAGAGAGAGAGGGGGGGAGGGAGGACAAGAAGACGGCAAAGGATAGGAAAGGAGGAGAGGGAGGAGAGGGAGGAGAGGGAGAGGAGAGGAGAGAGCAAAGCCGAGAGAAAACTGGAGAGGAGAGGAATGAAAGGAAGGAGGTTAGCGAAACATGACGTTAAAAAAAAAAAAAAAAAAAAGGGGAATGGACACAAGAGAAAAAGGATGGGGTGGAGAACAGAGGAGAGGCAATCTAAGGACTGAAGAGGAAAGGAGAGGGGAAGCGAGGAAAGCGGAGACGAAAAGAGGGAGAGAGAATGGGAGAGACGGAAGGTAGGGACGGAAAAGACGGGAAGAGACGATAAGAGAACAACCGATGAGAGGAGCACGATTCACCCACCATCACTCGCCCTAAGAGCGACTCTTAAGGCATACTCACGCCACGACTTTTGCAACGGAATCTGGGCACGCTTAGGGGCCAGATGCATCCAGTAAAGTGCAGCTGTCAGTATGTCACCAGTCAACGACCGCTGGCGTGTTGATACAGTGTGAGCAATCAACGACAAGCTGAATGCGCCCGACTTGATTTCCACCCACAGACTACAGAAGAAGACAATTAACACGAGATAAGACAGGATAACACAAGGTAAGACAAGATGGCGTCCAGGTACAAGAAGACACAGGGGCAAAGAAAGGAGGAGAAAGAAATAGAAGAGATCGATGGACTAAGGGCATCTTCGCAATAGCACTTTTTCGACTCAGCTCTGGACACAATTGCGGTCAGATACGTCCAGAGTCGGCCGCAACTGCGGTCAGATTCATCGAGGACAGTGTTAGTGCGAGTATTGCCCTAAATCACGAAGAGATTCGATTGACAGATATGTGATAGATAGCTAGGTGATAGTAACCCACCTTCTCCTTCTGTAAAAACTCCAGCAGCGGAAAGACCAAATGACGGTCCAAGAATGGCGCCACCTTGGGCGTTAGGTCGTACTTCGACATGGCTGGTTGACTGATCACCACCACCGCTCCTCTGTTTGACTGACGGATTCCAGCAACTGACCGATGAGAGCGATGGCGGCTGTCTCCTTCCTCTCGATCTGACTGACCGACGAGAGCGATGGCGGCTGTCTCCTTCTCCTCTCGAGATGACTGACCGATGAGAGCGATGGCGGCTGTCTCCTTCTCCGCTCGAGATGACGGCTGTGAAGACGCGGGCGCTGACGGTCGGCCAAGGAGAAGAACCGAACCGTACCGGACCGGACCGAGCAGCAACACAGCGGGGGCCTCGAAAAGACCCTCCGCGAAGCGCACAACCGAAAAGAACACTGATACAAAACGCACGAGTAATGAAAGTCGGCAGGCTTGCGTTAATCCCCTTTCCCTCCCGAGGGGGGGGCTGCTTTCCCGACAGATGAACCCACTTTCTCTCCTTTTCCCTCCGAAACAAAAGAAGGGGGGGGGGATTTCGCCGCAAAACAAAAGAAGGGGGGGGATGTCGCTGCAAAATAAAAGAAAGGGGGGGGATGTCGCTGCAAAGCAACAGAAGGGGGGAGACGTCGCTGCACCGCAAGGATTCGAAACCCGGATTTCAGGAGCCTCAGCCCCTGCATATCGTTCCACAAGCAAGCTAGGTAGGCAGCCAACGAGGTTTCTCTCTTCAACCCCAACCACAAAACCACCCTTTATGCGCCCTTCCTTGTCCTTGCGAGGCCTTCGTCTATTCTTATAATAAACCTTTGCATGGTTCACCGCTGTGCTCGCATACCCCTTGGTTGTTGTACAATTTCCAGGCACTTCCTAGTCCTGGGGGGATTTTTCGTTTGTCGTGTATCATAATCTCCACATGGCTCAACTCTGGGCTTGCATTTTGTAAGTTCCAATCCCGCCCAGACTAACCATAATCATAGTTATGACTCTTATGAGATGACTTCCAATCCCACCCAGACGGACAATGCCAATTCTCTTTGTACCGAGCAGATGTATCCTATGCCTGGCAAAATGGTATGTCTGGCTGTAAGCAATGATACTATCTCATGCAGAGCCCAATGAAGTATATGGAACTTTGGATAATTTGCAAAATACCCCCATAAGTTTAGCTATATGCCAAAATGTCCTTTGGAAGACGTTAGTAGAGCGGAATGCCCTTTTGGGTCGAAATCTTTATGTTATGCCCCTATCAGGCAATTGTGCAAATTTGCAACTTGGACCTCATCGTTTGGGTTTTGGCCTTTTGTCATCGGGCCTTTAAGAAGTTAGCAAGTATCGAGGTCGTTTGCAAAGTTTGACGGTATTCAATAGGGGTATAGGTAAATATTATAGAATATCGCCGCACTTTGTTCAGGCGACCACGAAAGTGGTGTTGAAAAAATAGTGTGAAGTTCGGTCGCACACTTTTATAACTTTAGGCGACCTTATAGACGTTATGAAAACCATATTTGTAAACTAGCAATTTTTTGGATAAGTTAGGATGGATGAATAAACAAATATAAAGGAGGTTTTTTCACTCGCTTTAAAACTACAATTTATGGGTTTGGAAAACAACTCTTTTTACATTTATCATTTTTTTATTTTTTCATTGAGAAGCATATTGGATATCAATGTAAATAATTATAAAAGATATAAAGTTTATAAGAAAAACAAATTGAAAAAATCGCTAGCACTTAAAACATACGAGAATTATAAAATTTTTAATTTTAAATGTATATACATTATTTTCCTCGGTGAGCAGACACCCAACTTATGTCCGGATTCACACTCGTTTTTTTGGGGTTGGTAAGATCCCTGAGCAGGGTTTTGGGAATAGTTTCAGACCCCACCCCACCCCCCACCAAAAAAAAAAAAAAAAGTGTAGATTTGTAATGCAAATGATTTACGATTCGGAGTTATTCAAATTTTTTACTTAATTAAATATTTTAAAAATAAATAATAATAAAATTATATTACATACCTGTAAACCACTTTGACTCCTTTAAAATTAGTATATATCCCTTTTTCACTTCATTGACGACCAACATTAAAAGAAAGAAAAATATTTCGATTCATGTTCCTATGAGAATGTGTGAAAGACTCTCATTGCTTAAATAAAAGAAAATAAAAATATTTTTTATCTTGCACGAGTACACATTTGATCTTACCCGGATTAGAATCATTCGACCACAAATTGTTCGGATACATATATGTATAACCTACCTTATCTTTTGAGAAAGAGTGCAATTTTTAAATAACTCTCTTTATATCTCATAAACATTCTTTCACGATACATCATCAAATTCAAAACTATGACCAAATTTATACACATCTATGTAGGCGCAATATTGCTTCATTGCGCCCCCCCCCCAAATAAAAAAAATGATTTTTTTTTTTGTCGTTTGGGTACCTTGGGCAGGTCCCCTATTAGACCACCCCGTCATACGACTCTAATAGCTTAGTTTTTACATTTGTTTTTTGTTTTCAATTTGGTAAAGAATCTTAAGGTGACCCCAATACAAAAGTTTTTCAATTTATTTTTTGCATCACATTTTATATTGCCTTATCTAAACACCCAATTTTTTATTTTAAGGGCGTCGGGTCCGCTTCTCGGTATGAAAACGCAGCCTTGTGCACTGAGCCTTCTTGCTCCCCTCTAAAAAAAAAATTGCATTATCATTTTTCATGACGTATATCGCATCATCAACCAAGTCTCATGAAAAACCTTAGTCATTTGGACGACCCATGAAGACAATTGTATCAAAAGATCCTGTATAAAAAAATAATAATAATAAAAATCAAAAGAAAACAATGTTGTGCAAGCAACAACCCGAACAACTTTCGTCTTGAGGTCGCATTGATTTTTTTTGCCAAATTAAGAAATATTGTAGGCTACCAGTCGGGCCGCCCGGGTCCCGGGTGACTAGCCCGTGCAAGGATCAAGGAAGGTCCTAGCAAAAAAACAAAAAAAATAAAAAATCTAAAAAATCTGAAAAAAAAAACTACGTTATGCAGAAAAATAAAGTGAAGAACTTTTGACTTAAGGTCACATTTGAACTCTTCACCAAATTTATAATAAAAATAAAATATAAAAATAATAATAATATATATATATATATATATATACGATATATATATATTTTTTGTCCGGCTGGGCAAGTGACCTCGGGCCACTCTGGTAGCCTAGGAAATATTATATATATATATATATATATATATATATATATATATTTCATCCATCCTGATCATTATGCCCTCTGATTGGAGGTCTACATTGAATTTGATTAGCCCAACCCTCTGATATTGAGTTGCTAACTAAAAATTATATTGCACAAACAAAAATAGGGATTTAACGTTTTTAAACGAAGGCTTAAATTTCCTTTGTTAGTTCAGACATGTAATAATTGAACAAACAATGTATCATAAAAAACATATGTATAAAAAAAACAAAACAAAACAATAATTGTCATAATGAAAAACTCGTTGAGAATCATACCCTGTGGTAACTACATGTGTAACCCTTTTACTCGTCAAAAACTAAATATAAATCCTTAGGGAAGTATATATTTTATGTACTCAGATTGGGCTTCAAGCGGACCTTGGAACAAAGTTGTCTGGTTTGCAATGGTCCATAGGAATACGCACATGCTACACTCACTAAATATTACAATTGTGGGTATCTGAGTTTATATTATTTATCATCATTATGAATTACCATCAAGACATCCAAGATACTTGCTATGCCGAATTGGTTTGTTAGGTATAGTGCAAAACGGTACTTTATGAGATAATTTGAAAAATTAAAAAACTTTTTAACTTAAAAAAATGAGAGTTATAAATCCTAAAACAATTATCTTTTTTACTTGAATAAAATTTGGATCTGCAAAACGAAGTGGCTTGCTTTTTGCAATGCGCTATGCAGACATCTGTATGCTACGACTTTGAATGTTAAGCATTGTCCCAATTGTCCAATATACATGTCACGATATCAAATGCTTATATAACCAAATTAGCTATAAAGTATGGTGTAAAATGATAATTAAAGGCTTATAAATAAAACTATAAGTTTAACATTGTCGGAGTTATCTGAGGCAATTTTCCATTTTTTTAACAAGGTCAAAATCAGCACAAATTTTCAGTTTTGCAAACAATGTTTTAACAATTTGGAGTAAGTCTTTACCAAGTTTTGCAGTGTGTCATTACCAGATTTTGCAGTGTGTCATTACCAGGTTTTGCAGTGTGTTGTTACCAGGTGGTGAACAAGTGGCACACTTGCAGCTATTATGACATATCAACAGACCAATATAACAAATTTCAAATCGTCCCACAATTCAATAATGAAACAAGGAACAACCTACCACCCTTCATTTGAGTTGTTTAAAAAAAACAAAAAAAAACGGGGATGCAACTAGGCTACCAGAGTGACCCGGGGTGACTTGCCCGACCGGGCCAAAAAAATAAAAATAAAAAATATTAAGTTTAATTTTTAATTTTAATTTTTATTTTGGTGAAGAATTTCGATGTGATCCTGAGGAAAAAGTTGTTCAGTTTATTTTTCTTCATAACATAGTTTTTTTTCGGAGTTTTTGGAGTTTTTTTTTTTTTTTGGGGGGGGGGGGGACCTCCTTGCACGGACTGGCCACCCGGGCCCCGGGCGGCCCGGCTGGTAGCCTAGGGATGCAAAGATTATTTTTACAAATTATAACCACATGTAAATGACAAAGTTAAGAATAGGGTTAATCAACCTATCACTAATCAAACATTAAAAAAAATAAAGTGATAAAACGTAGTAGTTCACAAATCGTATGACTGCATTTATACATTTGAGTTATTTTTATCGTTTCGTTATACCGGTCATCCCCTTTAGCAAAAATTGATTGTTGAAAGGATGCTAAAATTTTTGGTTGGGGCTTCAAAAGGGCAGACAATCCTTATAAGCATAGAGTCGATATTTATCAATTTCATGTAAAAAAAAAAAAAAAAAAAACGGCGTGCAACCTCCTCAGGCTTGCGACTTATTAGTTATTCCACATTTTGTTAACAAAATGACACTTCGAATATAATGCATATATGTAGTATTCAAATACAAAACATATGTGTTTCCTACTTAAATTTAAAAAACTAAAACACTTATGTATTATAATACTTCCGAGGTCAATACATGACTTTGTGCTCCCAGTCACTAACACGCTTTGTGTTGCAGGGCTCTCTCCCTCCCTCTCTGTCACACACACACACACATACATAGACACACACACACACTCACGTATACACACACTCACGTATACACACACTCACACACACTCTCGCACACGCTCACTCTCACATACACACACACTCTCACTCTCACGTACACACACACGGAAACAAGTACACACACTGACACATACACACACACACACACTCTCTCTCTTGGAGTTGTGAACATGAATCACCACCTTACCTTTTCCCAACCACATCAAGTGACACTATCATGATCGATCAACATAACAATATACCAAATTTCAAATCCTCTTACAATTCAACAATGAAATAAGGAAACAACATACCACTCTTTACTATATAGAAAGAAAAACAAAACAGACAAAAACCAAGGATGCAAAAAAAAAAATTATCCGGTGACAAAGTTAAGAATCAAGCTAACCAACAAGTCACTAACCATGCATATTAAGAACTAAAATGACAAAATTTGCTAATTTGCTTTAAACAATAACCCAAATAAAGCCACATCCATTAAATATTACGAGAAGTTCATAACACCACCACTCAATACGCAAAGGATATAAAATAGAAAAAATAGAGATGTCACCAATACTGATACAAAGTTTTTCACATTCATAAGCATAAGCGTACTCGAGTGTCTGTGATTTTTTAACTATGGACAATTCTTCGACGATAGGCGATCACTCGCAAGAAG